TAACCCTCTCTTGTACAAATTACTGAATTTTGGCCAATGAAAGGCAGCCAACTGTTCAAGTTCAAATAAGGCAAATGCCAAGCTCTAACCAATCCAACTGTTTCTGTACCTCACTTCCATTTTCTGTATGTCACCTTTCTTTTTTCTATTCATAAATTCTCCCTGACCATGTGGCAGAACCAGAGTCTCTCTGCGCTAGAACCAGACTAGCGCAGAGAGACTCTGGTTCTGCGTGGCTGCCCCATCGTTCATGGCTCAATTAAACTATGTTAAATTCAATTTGTCTCAAGTTTTTCTTTCAACACTTCCCAGGAATGAAAATGGTTTTCATTTGTACTTATATATAGTGGATTATATAGTGGAGCTTGTTAAACAGTAATCTCAGTTAGCATCACAATAGGTGCTTCTGTGTTTAGGGAGTGTTTTATCTGTTGGAAAGTTACTAAAACAATGAGACGTAATGCCATCAGCTAGGTACTCTGCTGCTTTGAAATTATGGACTATTGCATTTCAATTAAAATGACATTTCTTGACTGAATTCTGACATTCTCAGTGTTAGTGGTGAATGAAGACTTTTATTACAGTTTCTATTGAGCTTTTTACAGATTTTATTATTATTATTATTATTATTTTGTAGAGATGAGGTCTTGCTATGTTGTCCAGGCTAGTCTTGAACTCCTGGCCTCATACAATCCTCCCAGTGCACAGCCTCCCAAAGTGCTGGAATTACAGGCATAAGTCACCTCATCCAGCCCCATGTAAGCTTTTTTGAATAAAAAAACTGGAACTGTAAATAGCATATACATAGGATTCTTAATATTTTTACTTTAAAATTCTAGATTTGGAAAAATAAACTAAAATTGAATACAATGTAATGGAGGCAAATATATCTGCACTGGAAAATTTAGCTTAAGGAGTCCCTTCATGCTATTGCTCAGTCTGTAATTTTCAGTTTAAGAGCAGGTGGAAGCTCTTCAGTGGTGACTGACAGACACCATAAAAGGTAGAAAATTGAAGGGGCCTATTTCCTGTATCTTGAAAATTTTTGTAAAGAATTCCAGAAGTCATACCAAACCTTGGACAAATTATTGAATGCTAGAAATCTCATTTGGGAGCTTACTGTAAATGTGTGTAGCAACGCACTGACTCCATGTTCAATACAACGCCAACATATTGAAATCACTATTTTTGTGCTGACTCAAAGTTGAACAAGTAGAAAATCTCCCATAACACAAATTCAATGTTTGTGAAAGCAGGATTGCCCTCTCATTCCTTTTTCACCTTCCTGTGCCTTTCATAAGTTCTTCCAGTTGGTTATCATTAATTAATATTTAACAAGGCTTTTTCCTAGTGCCAAGTCTTCTGCTAGTCTAGCCTTTAGGCAATATATGAACTCCCCAAGTCCTTCCCTTTTCAGAAGCCTTGGCACTCACTACAGATTAATTTCTCTAAGGAAATTTACAATGGCAGATGAAATAGGGGTTACTTTTCAAGGACATTCAAATTTAAAGCCTCTCTTAGCATTTTTTCCTGGTATATGTAAAATACAACTTAATTGAACTAATTTTAAATGTTGACAGAACTTTCCAAGCATATATTTCCTGAACAAAATGGTTATGACTGGAACAGAAAAGGGCTTAGACTTTTTCTTCTACAGGGATCCCACAAGTCAGTCTCTTGACCTGACCCTGCAGAATCCCTCAAACTGTGGCTCTGGGAGTTGATTTTGGATCTACGATGAGCCATAGGTTTGGAATGCAGATAACCTCCACGTGTATTAATGAAAGAGGTCAGCTAAGACGTGGAAGCCATCTCCTGGGCCGAGAAGGAGAAGAAATGGCACTCTGGGGAACAGTAACACGTCTACAAGTTTTCTCTGGTGAAAGGAGACTGATGAGAATTGATACCCATTTCAGGTCAAAAAAGTGGAACCAAGGTACTTCCAACCACCTCCTCTCACCTCTCTCCGCATGGACAAACATACCAGACAGATGATGTGGGCTAACAATTTGCTTGGCATGAGGCCAAAGGCTTAAGGGTCCTGCCCTGCCCATATTCTTCTCACTTGACTTCTTAAGGGAAGGAATGATTGCTGATGTTTTCCTCTGCAACGGTTGGCACCTGGACTGATTGTTGCAGCTGTAACCAGGAATGCCCCCCAACATGCCGTGATTCTTCTCACGATTCTGCGAGAAACCGTACCTCCTCCCCCATAGACTTTATATAGGTAGCATGTTCATCTTTTTATTAATCCCACAAGATTTTGTGAATATGTACTCCGAGCCAGGCACTTTAAACTTCAAACCTCTTCCTAGCCCAAGTAGGAAGGGGATACTCAGGCGCTGCGGACCATTCTCCTCTCCTTGCTGCAAAGATACAGTCCCTATCCCTCCTGGGTGCCCATCCTCGTGCCTATTTTCCCGGATCCCCACCCAGTTGATGTGACAGGCTCGTGGTCCAATCCCCTTCTAGGTTCCCAGGCCGACTGCTAGCACCACCCGAGCCAATAGCGGCGGCCGAGGGGCGGAGGGGGCTGGCAGGAGGAGAGGGAGCGCTGGCTTTAGAACCACTGCCGCAAAGATTACGAGGGGCAGAAGTTGTCGGAGTGCGTTGGTCGGCGGCAGTCGGGCCAGAGCCTGGACTCTGTGACTTTACGTAAGTGTTTGTAGGCAACGGCGGGCACTAGGGGATTGGGTTTCCTGGGCGTGGGCAGGAGTGGGTCCCGGGGAGAGCATCTCCGTTAAGCTCAGCAGGAACGTGTCTCGCCCGCGGGGCTGGGATGGGGGGAGAGGAAGGTCGGAGAAATTTCAGCTGGAGCCCTTGGGCGTCCGGGCGATCGTTCGCTACCGAAATGGGTGTGAGTGACCGGGAGTTTCCCTACAAGAACCCGCCGCAAACACATTTTCTGCTCTTCACTGTATTAAGTGGTGCTTTCTTACTAGCTGCTCTTAACTTGTTGCCAATCTTGGGCTCTAGTCCTAGACGCCAACCCTTTCCCTGATCCCCCTCCGCGGCTGAGGCCCCGAAGTGGAAACGGAGCGCATAAGTTCCCTCTGTCGTCCTTCTCCAGCTACTGCCATCCCCCCCTCTCCTCCCGCCCGAGCACAGGAAATCCCGGAGCCAGCAGCCTGCCACTACTCCAGCCCCCACAAACCTGCCTCGGCTGACCTGGCGGGCTTAAGCCGACCCTGGGGCTCTGGAGAGCGGGGACTGTGGCCGAGGGGAGGAACGAGGCTTGGGTTGCCTGCCTTCCGCCTGCTTCCCTCCCTTGTCCTTAGCGAGAGCGTCGCGAGCGCACCTCGTCTCCCTATGAGTAAGCACTTTTTTTTTCTTTCACTAGCAGAACATCTCTGGGCTAGTAGGGCAGCACCTTTCCATTCTCCCCTGTCCCGCACTCTCTGTCCTTTTCTCAGCTCCTTTGGCTCTTCGGCCCAGGGCGCGCGGTCCCGGCTGCGTGCGGCCGCCCCGGACCTCTCCCGACTCTCGGAGCGCCTCAACCGGAGGGTCGACGGGAGGGAGGTAATATTCCCTGCCTTTCCCCGCACAGCTGCACTTGCCTGTGTTTACTTTTCTCTACCCGCAGTACTTAAGCGCTCTAATGAGAGGCCCCGGGAAGCTGACCGCCCCGCCCCGGCTTCTCGCCAGTCCTAAAGTTGCTACCGCCGTCGTCACTGCTTCAGTGTGCTGGCGGTTCTGACGCGACATGATCCCTGCCCGGGACGTGGAGTGGTTTTAATGGCATTTGACTCTTGCCTTACGCGATGCTCCTTGCGTCTCACCTGAGCTGCAAGATATCCCCAGTGGTGCAGAGGGCTGAGCTTGGAACTAAGTGGGTTGGAGAGCCTCGCCTATTAGCATCCTTCAGACCGGTTGTTGGGGACGCCCAACCTGTTAAGACGGATGGAGAGGAGGGAAGGGAGCCTGGCTAACAGTAAGTAGAAAATGTAGGGGAAAGTAAAAAACTATTGACAGGCAAGCACTTACTCCCCTTTGTTGGATGTCACAATGGATTGGGGAGCCTAAACTTGATCCTGGAGATGCAGTTTATGGTGAATTCCAGCTAAGTGGCTGCAGCCCCACACATACCAATTGGAATCACGTGCCCCAAGTCTCTGATGTGATGGTCACATGACGGCTTTTGACTTTAAAGCTGGAATGTAATGGCTGAGGCCTATATTCCAAAAACCACCTCTACATTTGAAAAAAGGTGGGGAGGAGTGTGAACTAGCTTCTAATCAAGTAAGTCTACTAGGATTTGGATGAGAGGACCAGAAAGGGAATTGGGTGCTCGGCTTTTATCCAAAATAAAAACAGGAGCTGTTTTTAAAATAAGGGCTTGAAATATATATGAGTCGGGACATACACCTCCTCTGTTCTTCAATCTCATGGTTTTTCTAAACTTAAAAAGCATCTTATTAATTTTCTAGGGAAGCCATCCTTTTAGTCATGCCCCATTTTGTCCCTGAATGCTAGCTTTGAAGCTATATCCCACAAGATAGTGTTAAAAAGTAAGGCTCTGTTCATATTCCTTGGTCTGGCCTATATTTTAATTGACCTGTTCTCTATTTTAGGCATCTACATAAAGGTAGTAGATAGCCTCTTGACTACAATTAACCATCAGTTATTTGTGGTTATGAATTAATTGGATTAGAAATCATGCACAAGAACAGTGGATAGTAAATTTGATACATCGAGTTGGTTGAGTTTTTGCCTGTCAATGGTGTGGTAGAATAATGAGAGGGCACTGAAACAACTTTCCCATATTGACCTATACCCGCCTACGTGGCCCAAGTTAAGGTTGCTGCTGGGAAAACGTGGCAATTTGGCTATTCAGATTATAGATTACAGAGTATAGAAGAGGGAGAGGAGCCTCTGAGGTCTGCAGTTTAAAAGCTTTGCTTATCTGGAAAAAAAAAAAAAAAAGGACTTGGTTGATGCATATTCAGCCTTGAAAACAACTAGGGCAGAAAATATTTAAGAGATTTTGACTTTGTATTCTTTACCCAAAAACCCTTTGTCTCCTGCCGCAGCCTCTGAATGACTGGAGTACTCCATTTTCTTGCTGTTTCTTTTTTTGTTTCTGAGCCTGAAAACTAGAACAACCTAAAGCCCATAGTTCTGACCCCAAGGCTAGCCTTGTGGCACAGATTAGCTGGAAATGGATTTAAGGTGCACCTGAGTTTCTAGAGTTAACTACACTGGTAGATAGGCCCCTCTAGTGGAAGTGAGGTGACAATATAAATTTAGATTGAAATAACAAATGTTTAACCTCAAAACAGGGGAGTTACTACCACTCAACTAGGTTAAAGTGGTAAGGGGGTAAGTTCTTTTTTAAGCGGTGTTCAATGAGAATCATCGCTAACAAACAGAATCATCGCTAGGCTTCCAGTCCACAGCATTTCATTCTCTTGTGATGCCTACTCATTGAACACCACCCCCAATATTGCTGACTTCCTTTTTTGGTGGTATGATATTATGAGCCCAAATTTTTATTAAAATTAGGGGACTGGGAGTCAAATTCTTAATTTCTGTTAGATCTAGCCGATAGCAACCCCTTCCTTTACTTGGGGTGAGGAGCTATTAATAAATAAATTGTGCTTTGCCTTAATACAGGTGATTCAGTGTTGAAGTCCAAAGTCTCTAGTCTGATGTAACCATTTAGATTCAATTGATAAAAATGGCTAGGCTTATGGCATTTTGGGTAGAAGGATTAATTAAAACTAGTGAGTAATAATTTGGGTGAGATTAAGCCTCTTCTACAGATGGTTACATGCACATTGGACTTTGACTGTGACTATTTGTAATGGCAGAATGTCAGTATCCAAGCCACTGTCAGAAACTCAATGAGATTTTTCTCCCAGGCGAACAGAATCCTGTTACTGAAAAGAAAAGGGCAGCTTGGCCATGGTGCTTGAGCACCAAAGTGATTCTTTTTGGTGATGCTAAGAGGGCACAAGAAGAAAGTCCACTTGCCATTATCTTATATTCTGTTTTAGGCATTATTTCTACTTGGATTTTCATGAAATGTACTGACAGTATTCTTAGCACATATGATAAATTCATGAGTTTGCTGCTGCGTTTGATCTAATATAATCCATGTGGAATGTATAAGCCGAACTGTTTCTGTTTTGCTGTTTGGTACAGATTCCGAAAGTAGCTGGTATAAAATAAAATTTGAAAATGAATATCTCTCAATACATGACAACATGGGGTAACTGTTTTTAGAATCATGTCGTCTTTGCTCATATGACAATTTTCCTTTTGGTGAAGAATGATCCAGAAGGCAAAATTTTTGAGCTGTGAAAATAATAAAAGTCATTTAAAAGAAATCAGATGGGTCATGTTTTGAGTATGTATTATTCTAGAGAGTGATATACCACTTAATGTATATTCAGTGTGTTGGAGGTTTCAAGGCTTTTTGGATACATTACAATGTTGGAAGCTCTTTTATATACCAGTGGTCATGACTAGCTGATTTTAGTTATGAGAAAGGTTTGGTTAAAGTTATGGAAACAGTCTAATCATGAAATGTCAGTCTTAGGAGAAGATCTCATCATATTGAGCCAATTTATTTTCGTTACGGAGGTGATACAGTTTCAAAAGATTCAGGATAAATTTAATAATATAAAATTCTGCCTTATTCTTGACACTTGGAAGATAAATATTAGTGTATAAACTGTTTTAGGGATGAAGAAGCATTGTTGGTATATGAAAATGAAAATGCTAATTATGTTGAAGTTGGCCTCAGAGGAACTAGATTCTAGAAAGGGCTCTGCCATTGACTCGTAATTTGACCTTCAGAAAGTCATTTAAAATTATTATATTGATAACTAATTGAGTAGATATATGTGCCAGGTACCATGCATGCCTTCGTTTATAAAAAGAGAAGATAACTCAAGCTTTTTGGTTTGCCGAGATTTCTTTTTTCAAATATTCATAATCTGACTTATTTCAGTTATCAGTTGACTTTTCAAACTTTGATGCAATTGTATTGCAACAAGCTAAATACTTTGTTGGCAAATTGATGACTATTCAGGAAAGCAGTCACCAGTGGGTTATTCTTTGACTAATGTTAGTTCTTTAAAATAAAGAGGTGCCATTTATATAATTCCTTAACAGGGATTTTTGCTGCATTAAGCGTACGGATTTTATTATATGAGAAACCATATGTTTTTGTAAAAGTTTAGGAATTTTTTAATAATGAGGTAGTGTTTATTGGAAAAGCACTGAGCACAGAATTTCAGGTCTTTTAGTCCTCAGCAGTCTGGACAGATAGATCATCTTAAGTAAATCATTGAAATTTCCTGTGGTCATATCTGGGTTTCACCTTATTTTTAAGCCATGTGTTTCCAATCTACATATTTCACAAGCATGGTGAAAGGATAAGTGAGAAACGTGAAGCCTTGGCTCTTATGCAGACAGGTGCTATATAAATTCAAAGTACTGCAGTAGTATATCATAGAAACACTAAAGCTTTAACAGGAGTTTACAGAGATGGCAGGGTTCTTATCACGTAAGTCTTGCTACATTTTTCCTTGTCTGTAAATTTCTCTAGCCATCCAACTTTTACAAGCAAAGGAAAAATAAAGCCAGACATATTATAATGAAAAATAAAAGAATAGGTTGATAACAATAGAGTGAAAACCTACATGTGA